GTTTTTAACATTATTCAGACTCAGCTCTCTGAACTAAAGCTTCTTTTAAATGTTGATAAAACCAAGGTAATGCTCTTTTCTAAAGCTAAAAAGACACCAGAGCCTGTTTTGGATATTGTTACTATGCAAGGACAAGTACTTGAAGTGGTTACCAGTTATAAATACCTAGATATCTGGCTTGATGATTGTCTTACTTTTAGACTTCATGTCAATAACCTGCTTAAAAAGCTGAGGGTTAGACTAGGTTTCTTTTTCAGAAACAAGTCCTGTTTCTCTTTTGAAGCCAGGAAAAGGCTAGTCACTGTGACCTTTTTACCTGTGCTGGACTATGGTGATTTGATCTATATGAATGCACCTGCCCATTGCCTGGAAAAATGAGATGCCGCCTATCACAGCGCTCTGAGATTTGTTACTAACTGTAAAGCACTTACTCATCACTGTACCCTGTATGCCAAGGCAGGTCTGCCTTCACTAACTGTACGGAGGCTCAGTCATTGGTACATGTTCATTTACAAAGCCATGTTGGGTAAACTACCTTTTTATATCTGCTCTCTGATCTCTCGACGAATTGTAAGTACATATTGCCTGAGATCTCATGATGTTGTTTTATTAAATGTGCCAAGTGCTAGGACTGTCTTAGGGAAGAAAGCTTTTAGTTGTGCAGCTCCACTAAATTGGAACAGTCTGCAAACATGTTTAAAACTGAGCACTTTGGTTCCCCTGCATCATTTTAAAACTCAGCTGGGTGACATGCTGTTTGATACTCATGGTACCTGTCTCTGTAAATAGAGTTTGTAAACTGTACCCTGTACATTATGTTGTTTGTCATCCTTATTGTTGTTCTGTTGTTTTTATGTTACATGTGTAACTAATGTCCTGCAGGTCACCCTTGAAAAAGAGATCTTTTGATCTCAAGGGGCTTTCAGCTGGTTAAATAAAGGCTACAAACAAACAAACATACTCAACCCCATGGTCTGCTGTGTGTCATGTGACCGGTCAGTGGAGGAGGGGAAAGGAAGGCCTCGGCTTAATTAGTCTGAGGCCAAACAGAGAAGATGGAGGAGGACACTGTTGTCTGGCGCCTTGAGGGTTCCTCAGCTCCTGCAGGCTCATCTGTCTCTCACACACACACACACACACACACACACACACACACACACACACACACACACACACACACACACACACACACACACACACACACACACACACACACACACACACACACACACACATACATACACACACAGGAAAACACTTGAACTCCTTGTTGGTAAGGATGATGAATCTTTTTTTGATGGTTTTTAATGGTTTGAAAAAAATGTCATTCGATTTATTAACAGGATCCCGAGATGTAAAAGTTGTACTACTTGATATTTCAGTTGTGGTTGATTTGGAAACACATGTGGTTACCATGGTTGCAGGAAGTGGGTCTTAGTACTCCTGCAAACACTCCTTGAGCAGCTGTCAGGAATTCATCAGAAGACTAGCTGGTTTTTCTCAAATGGTTTTAATAGAGATGTCAGTCAAAATAATTGCACCTGCATTGGGATTTCCTGCTGCGCATGCCACAAGCAGCTTTCTACAAAGCAAGAGTAAAGGTTGTTTATCTTGTTGAGAAGTTGGAAAAGTCGTGTGCATCTTTTTATGTACAAAGTTGCTTTGGCAGCTCTTTTTCCTCAAGTCTTTTGCAAAAAATGTAACTCCAAAATGACATTTGTGTTGTGTCATAGTTGAATGATTGCGTTTATAATGCATTGAACTTTAAATGTGCAACATTTTTAAACAATCTGGATTCTGCGCAGGAACAGGAACATTGAAAACACTACTACATTTTAAGGGATGGACATAAAACATTAAAAACAAAAAAAGATATGTTAATCCTTAAACCAAGACCGTCTACTGAGCCCGATAAAAGAAAAGAAAAATCCTCCTAAATACAGCTAACTTAATTGAAATGTTATGTATCATGTACAAAGCTCTTACCTCACTTTTCTTATTGCCTGCATGGGGCTATTTCTCCATGTTCTTTCCATTGTTTTTGCTTCAACTTTGGCTTTGGTTCACATTACTTGACTGTTATTGTTGTATCTCTGATTGCTGAATCAAAAGTTTTATTACAGTTGCATTTTATCTTGTCTCATTGGATACTGCTCACACTCTGGCCTTTGTTTTGCCAATATGCAATACCCTGTAGATAACAGTCAATAGTGCGTCGATTATTATTGACTTACATAAATGCACTGTTTTTACAGTTATGCGATCTGAGTTTAGCACGTGACTGGTGGACTCCACCACTGCAACTAAACACTACTTGACCTCTAAAGGACAGACATAACACATATAACAAACAATTAAATGAGGGCAATTCTTCCAAGCCCAAAATCTACACATAAAAAAACACATCTGAAGGTTTCTGTTATATCTCAAGCGTTTATGGTTCTGTTGAGTTTGTTGTCATGAACACTTACTGACATTAAACTACACTCCCCCGTTCTGTGAGAGATGATAGGATCATGAATGAGTGGCACTGAAGACAGACAGCGACGTCAACAGCAAACACACACGATGATAAACAGCCCTGACCACGCAGCTGACAAGTCCAATCATCTGCCAGTCGCCATCAAGGCCAACAAGAAGCAGATGATGTCAGTTTCCCCTCTGTATTGAGTTATCAGGTTGATTGAGTGTAATTGAGCGATGCATCGGAGTGCGGAGAGAAGACACTGGGCCTCTGGAGAGGCTGGGGGAGGAAAGGGAGGAAGGGTGTTCTTCAGGAACAAGGAAATGCTATACGGCACCGGGGCCATGAGATTAGCACTGCCAATGACTTGTGGCCTTGTTATCAATTAATAGGATTGATTGAGCCCCTTACCGGATAAAAAAAGATTTTAAAAAAGTGCTCTTCATTCTTCTGTAGTGTAGCCACTAGTGTGCAGCTGCAACATACACTGCAGGAAATGTATCAGCCAAGTATCTAAACCATAGAGGCCATGAACTTTAACTTATAAAAATGATACCTCTTGATCGGCAAGTTGAGTTTATGATTGGATAACTTTCTTTGGACTTTGAATCAATTCAACTGGTGAGAGTTCTTCCGCCTCCTGAGGAAATCTGTCTCTGAAACAATTTTCAAAGACTCAAATCGACAAGTTTCCAAGACTCTTCTCGGAGGAACATTAGTATCTCAACTATGAATCTGCCTGTCTTTTCTGTTTACTTTCAAATAAAAAAAGATATAATAAAGAGCCTATGAATATGATGATTGAAAAAGACGTTCTCAAATTCATAGATGATTCCTTCTTTTGGGCGATATTGTGGCATATCGAGCTGAAATGAATTTGGAACTCTTCATCCTATCGGCCTAACTGAAGTGAATCTTCTTCTGTTCTTTCATATGGAGATCGATCTCAATGCACACCTCAGCCCACACATCCATTTCAAGGCATTAGGAGTTTGAAGCATTGAGGAAGGGACTTCTAGGTCGCTTTTTTCCGCACAATTTCCTGATTTAATCTATTGTTCATCTCCGCCGTCTGCCCATGTAAAAAAATCGAAAGTCTCCTATACTCCAATCTTCCTGTCATTCCTTTTCAGCTTAAAAGTGACATACATGAAAAAGACCTCACCAAGGTAACCAGAATATCAATCAATTATTACACATCTGTGACTCGGCCAAGAAGAAGCAAAAGATGAGGGATGGGACATTTGATGTGGACGCTAATGAATCTCATGGAGTTGGTGCATGATTATCCATCTATGTAAAACCTTTTTAATCTTTAAATATAAGAAATGCACATGCAATTTACCTTAAAGGGAAAGGGTGCTGATTTTACACATACGGTTCTTAGGGAGGACTAATTCTGCATTGTTGGAACAGTCATAATAATAAGGAATATGCATTTCTGTAATAATTACATAATGTAATGTAATGTAATGTTCCATAATGAATAAATACCAAATATTTGGGCCGGTTTATGTTATGAAGCTGTGCTCCGGTTACATTTAACAGATTCTCTTTTTGCGCCATAACTCTTGATTTGTCTCAATCGTCATGCTCTCTTCTCTTTTTTTTTCTTTTTACCTGCACATATTCTATTAGAGCTATGCATAATGTTACAAAGTGTTAGTTTTACGCTACTTTTCAAGATGTACTGTGGGATACCTCATATAGGGTATACTATTCTCATTATACTGTACAAAGAAACATTTGTATCAGTTGGTTTTGTGAATTTTTGTATAGATACCTCTTCCTTTTCCATGTTATTTTGAGGATGACTGCATTTATCTCTAGATTGTAAAAAGTTTGACGGAATAAAACCTAAATAGGCCTCTAATACCCTATATGAGGTATTATTTTGATCCTGCATGATGCACATTACATTATATCCTGGGATCTTTTTTACCTGGCACATCATTAGAGCGCCCTATCATCTCAATGCATATCCACCACCTCCAGCCGCCTTCACAGGCCACGCTGTGTAGGCTGCCATTCTGTCCCTGTATTAAGAGGTTGCGCACAAATGTATTGGGCTGCTCAGTCATTGTCAGTACTAATGGACCAAGCGTAATGTTTTGTAGTGGAAACCTTTTGAGGCTAGAATCTCTCACAATGCAATACAGGTACAAATGAGATACCTGTATGGTGTTGTCAGCTCATGCTGGAAGCTGTGTTGTCTTTATAATGCACTGATTATATTATTATTGATGTCTATCCATCTATCCATCCATTACAATACCTATCCAACAGTCCATGTGCGTTCTTGACAATAAGGACAAAGGCTCGTTTACAGTGATGAGTTGATAGTGAGTCATGACTAACTGTGAGAATGATGTCGAAACAGCTGATTAAGTCTGACACCAGAAAGTCCCTTTGTTGCTACAAAATGTTGTTTGATACTAGAAATGTTGTCAATTTTGAAGAATATTCAGTCAATATTAACATTGGACTAAAATAATAACATAACGACCTTGCCTTTCTCTTATTTCTTCCGCTCCAGACACTCTCTCAGTGCCTCGCTGGTCCCCACAGATTCCACGAAGAGATCTGGGAAACTCAATAAAACACAGGTAGGTCTAAAGGAAAGAGTGTGGGTGAGTGTGTGTGAGTGTGTCACTGTACTTGTACATCTGTAATAGAATGTCAGTCCAATTAAAAAAAGATGGCCCCCTTGCATAACTCTCAATTCTCATCCGTCCCTCTCTTTTTCTCTCCTTGACTCCGAACGCTAGTGATCTAAAAAGTAAAACAATACCGTATTAGTTGTGGGATCTCAGCCACCTCCAGAACGTGGGTGTTTTGCCTTCTGAAAGTCATCGATATTGAACGAGAACCTCATCCCAGGCAAACTGAGAGCAAATGTAATTTATGAAGCCGTTATTTGAATATTAATGCTGGTTTTAAGAGATAAGCAATTACTCCATCCAGCATCTACTAGACGTGCAGATTTGCATATTTACAACTTGATCGTATTGTTAACCTGTTGCGATAAGTGCATTTGCGTCTTTGCTACACAATGCACTACTTTGGCTTAGGGGTATCCAATGTGCTGAATGAATAGCCTACTTCTTTATGCAAAATCGGCCCTTAATGTCACTTCATCGTTCATATCTGACAGTGGAGTCTACTAAAAAATCTGAGGGGGTTGGATTGAGTTATGCTACTCAATTGAGGCGAAGACGGGCCTAATAAAGAGATTTGGTTTCTGTCAAACTACATTAGTCACCTGCCATTAGCCAGCCAGCGGCACTGCTTGCATCCAGGCGTCACATCAGTAAATACAGCCAATAGCCACATACGTGCTCGTACCACTCGGACGGTCTGTGCAAGGAATTGGTCGAAACTGCGGAGCACTTTATGGATTTGTTTGTTTGAGAAGTAAGTGTGTTGGAACCTTTAGCGATGCAATTTCCTTCGCTCCCATCTCTCAGACTGGTTGTTGCATTGATGTAAACCCCATGGCCTAGGCCCCGCGCAGCAGAGTGACTGCCTGAGATGTTAATTCACACAGGGTTACTGAAAGATGAAAATGAAATGGGGGGCCCAAAATGAAATCAGCAGGTGAGGGAGCTAAGAAGGTAAACACTCTTGCAAAACTACTTTCTTCGGGCTATTTTTCATCCTCGCAGGAAGGTTACGCAGGTAATGTGTGCCGTCAGAATGAGAGAATGTTATGAAAGGCTTAAAGGTCAGAAGCCGTGTTTTCTCCCGTTAATCCACATGTTAAATTGTCTATCTCACTCTTTTCTTTTGCTTGTAGGTTTTCAACCAAGTATTGGATGTCCCAGACATGCATAGTATGTGGAAAGGGAATGTTGTTTGGACTGAAATGTAAAAACTGCAAGTGAGTACTAATTTATGAAATTAGTGTTGATGTGTTTTTTGTTGGTTGATTGTTTTTTGAAGGTGAACCCTTTTGTTTCTATCTCACTTGAATAAATTCATATTTGTTGTTTCATGATAATGCACCCAATTTGCATAAGTTGTGTAAATAAGCTAAACTTTGAACAACATGACACACACTAATAGAATGCCCTGTCCTTCTTGTGTATGCATGCAGGCTGAAGTGCCACAACAAATGCACCAAAGAAGCCCCACCTTGTCATTTATTGATCATACAACGAGGAGGACGAGAATCCCTCAAAGGTATTTATTTTAATATTTGCTCCACACACACAATTTCCTCCAAATTAATGGTGATAACCTTTTCAGATCATTTTTGATTTGCCACTGTTAACCAAGATTTTTTCTCAGTCTTCCTAAGCCAGGTGTTTATCGGAGATGCAGGGTTGACAGGGGGAGATAGAGGTGAAGATATTGCCTATTTCAGTGTGCTTGTACCTGCTTACTTAGGACACCAGTTCTTACAACTGAGCTATCCTGTGGCCAAATGTTGATGATTTTTTTTATTTAAAAGTCAGTAATGAAATTTGAATTATTAAAGGTGGGGTAGGTAATTTTGGAGAAACCAGTTCGAGTGCGCTATAATTTGAAAATACACAGCCGGAAAAAATCTGCCACTTCCTTAAAGAGCCCCTCCTCCAACACACAGGAACGCGCACATGACCAATGAGGGCACGAGATAAGTTTGTGCCCAGATGGAAGGCTGACAGGCAGGAAGGCCATCCAGTTATTTTAGCCGGGTCGGATGGAATATAACAAAAAGTGTATCTCGAGCCGGTTTCTCAAACTTACCTACCCCACCTTTAATATCCCACTCTGTTACTTTGATCTTTTTGGAAGTCAGCTTCCTTTCAGTTTGATTAAGATTGGCTGCAGAGCATGAACCAAAACTCCACCCCTGTCTTTCCATCGTAATTTAGCAAACACATGTTTTATTCATTCAACAGACTTGCACAACACTGATCTTTTCAACAAATATGTATATAGATGAGCACTGGCCGTATTAAACCAGAAAAAACTCTAACGTGGACTTTAATTAAGTGAATTATGTCAACAAATGTCACATAACTGTATTTAAACCTGTTTAAACTCAATGTTATTGGTTTCAACTGAACTAATGTGAAATGTGTCGACATAATACAGATAATCAAAGTCAATATTTCAATTCTTTCAATGTGGCTTTAAAATGTGTTGCTGTTTTGTGGATATTAAAAGAGTACATGTATTCTGCCTTCATCGTTGCTCATATGTTTGCATTGGACCTTAAAGCTACTGAAAAGACCATTTATTTCAGTCAAGTCCCCATTTAAAACATGAAAGAGTCTTTGCTGGCTTTCGCAGATAAAAGGTTATCTTATTAATTAAGCCGCTTAGGTTTGAGTAATGTGACTGCGTCATGCACTGCCTATACTGATACAGACAGCACTGAAACAAATTCCATTAACTGCTATCAGAATTGAGATTCCTTTGTCCTTTTCTGCCCCCCCCCCCCCCCATTCTTTTCTCTTCCAAATAAGATCAACAAGGAACAACTCAAGGTAGGGAACAGTAATTACACTTAATCTATTCTTCTGTCGTAAGAGAAAGTGACAGTTTCCCAATGACTCAATATCCTTTAGGAAACCTTTTTTCTTCCTAACAAAGTGTCTGTATGCGATAACAATTGGATGGTGTTCAAGAAAAGGCATTTTATAATTGAAGCATGGCCTAATCAAGATTTTCTTTTCAAATGTTCCTGAAGCTATTAGGCTACTATTGTTTTGTTTCAGCCTCCCACAGTGTTTCATTGTTTTCGGTGCTTCTTTTCAGCAGTAGCTCGTCTGGTACGGACTGAATCAGTGCCATGTGACATCAACAACCCGCTCAGGTACACAGACCTGCACATCAGTCAGACGCTCCCCAAAACCAACAAAATCAACAAGGTAAGTGCAAAAATAAACTGTGTGTTCGAATTTTCAGCTGAACCTGTCCTACATATCACATGTCTTCCATTTTTGGGGGGCTGGGAAAGAGTGTCTTTCTCAGGTGATCATGAAACCGTACCAAAATATCTTCAGCAGTATTGATGTATACACAGATGGATTTGTTTTGTGCAATAATACAAGGTTTCCATGGTGATACCGAGATGATGGAACTGTTGTGATCCCGATGTGTGAGTTTGGAAATAAGACATTTTAATCCATAACGTTCACCTTTAACATGCTGCTAAAGGATAAACAAATCATGTGTAAATAACTTTGCAAACAGAGATCGGTCTTATGCGTGTGGTTGCTACTTTCTTGGATATATATATTATGTTTTACATTTATCTTGCTTTGAATTTGTTTTTTAAAAACTCTCATTTAAGGGTATTGCCAGTCCCCTGTACTCTCTGAATTGGTCCTCACAGCGTACTACTACTGTTTGTCTTGTGAATGAGACGGACGCAGCCGGAAATATGTTAATACGCCCTTTTCTACTATCATTTCAACTAATACCCTAAATAAAGGCATCAATTCATTTTCTTTTAATTCTTTGGGTGATGAAATAAACTTGCAGAGACTGGAAGCTTAAGAAAAATAAAATATAATCAAATGGTAAACATTTTTTTAGCAGTCATTCCATTGCAAGCTAGTCATTTTAAAACCTCTAAAATTCAAGGATGCTCTTCTGGCTGAGATTTTAGGGTGGGCTGCTGGACGAAAGAGTTGTTTTTACATTTGACAACAGCAACAAACGTTGATGGTTTCTTTTGGTTTGAAGGTTCAGACTATGTAATGAATAGTGAAAGTGCTTTTTCATCAGAGTCGGTACAATCCAGACAGGTGTGTTAAATACAACTAATAATGCTATTGATTGTTGTAAAAAGTGGCACAAAAACCTGATTTGGCTTATTAGAATCCATTATGAAGTTATTATTGACCCATTTTTTAAAAAAAAAAGAATTTGGGTGGAGTCCAGACAGTGTTTCTATTCATAAAATGTCTTTGGTGACGAATAGACTTATTCACAAGTTACATCTTCAGCTGAAGAACTGATTGAGTGTTAGCTAACTTTATTCGTGGCTATGTTGGAGGATCATTGAATGCACCACTGAAGGGAGTTTTAAACAAAGGCTTCCTGTTTTATACACAATGGTAAGCTGTCTTTGTCAGAAAAGTAAAGGCAGCATATTGCTCAGTGTGATGGATTGCCTCTGTCTGGGCCAATTGCACGTCTATGCAAGTTGATTTTTATATTGTACTGATATTAATGAAAGCCAAGTGCTGCCTGGAAGGAGGAAAATCAATCTAGAAACTTGAGGTATGTATAATAAAATTGAGCGCAAGCACTTTGTATTAAGCAGACAAAAATGTGCGAGAAATAACCACGTTTCTCTTTCCTGTCTCTTCCCAGGATCACATCCCTGTCCCGTATCAGCCAGACTCCAGCAGTAACCCGTCCTCCACCACCTCCTCCACCCCGTCCTCCCCGGCTCCGCCTCTGCCCAGCAGTGCCACGCCCCCCTCGCCCCTGCATCCCTCCCCACAGTCGGCGCGGCAACAGAAACAGTTCAACTTGACAGGTATCAAAATCAGAGTACCTATAAATACAGAGATATTCGAATATTTTACATGGGAAACAATACATGAAACAATGCACACCAATTTCCCCCTCTATCAGTTCTGAAGCTGATAGAAATGTGATTACTTTAGCAGATTTGTGGTTGACACTATAGAAAATAATAGACAAAAGTTAAATGCTGAATGATTGACTTTGACTTCTAATTGAGAATTGCTACTTTTACTTAATAATTTGAGTATTTAAGTGGTTTGTCGCTAATAAAAAGCAAAGAAAAAAAAAGACTAATTTTGACCTATTAAAGCGCTAAATGAAAGTCAAGCTGGGCACCATAAGTCTTTATTTGTTTACATATTATTCATTCTGTGGTAAAGATTAGTGTGTGCACCAAATTCCACACAATTCATCTACCAATTGATAATGCTTTTCCCCTAAAACCAAAAATGTCCAACTCATGGTAGTTCTAGAAGAAAGGGGGTTGCCAAAGTCAGTAAGATACACTGTCACATAACCATGACCATCTGATTAAAATCTAATAACATCCATCCAATCATTGTTGAGATATTACGTTCTGGACAAAAATGACCAACAGATTGACATTGCCTTCAACAAAATCATGTTGGTTGCGTTGCTAAAAAAGTTTAAAAAAATGCTTAATTTTCATGAAACCAATCATGTCCAGCAAACATACCACTTACATGTAAACCAATAAAAGTTTAGGTTGTCAAATGTATCTGAAAATTACGATATTGTGCTGAATACACGCCTCGTATTCATGTAGTTACTTTGCTTAAAGCCTGTAAATAAAGGTAATAAAAACTGATTATAAAAGACAAGAGTTAAAAGGGTTAGTAATCATAAATTAATATTTGAGCGACACGTATGTTTAAATTCTAGCAACACCGTGTTTTATTATCTGCATTATGGACTAATTGTGTAAATACTGAATCAACAATCAACCCTTGTAAGATTTGTAAATCCACATCACTCCAGCTCTCCTTTTGTTTTCTTTCCGCAGGCTCCAGTTATTTCAAGTACAAACAACAGTTCATCTTTCCCGGTAAGTACCTCGTAATTGTTCATTGCCCCAACCCATAATACCCTAGAAGCAGCCCAGGAAGAGTATGGAGGAGGAGGACTCTTTTGATGTTGGTGCTGATTTTCATCTCGTCACCATGGCCTGCTTTAAGACTGTCGTCCCCTACACCCACTCGCTGGTTGTCTCATTTGGGCCTCCTAATGACTTGTCAATGCCCAGACTCTTTTCCTTTGTCCACACTGGGACCACACAGTCGTTGCTCATTTGGCAGCCTATTATAGCCCAGACAACCTGGAGTGGTGTGAGGAATAGAACGAGGTGTAATTGAGATCTGGCGAGACAGGGTTTTTGGAAACAAATGAATATACAGCACCCTGGATCTTATTATTGTAGCCACACTCTCTGTTTTCATCTAAATCACGGCAGCTACCTTTATGAGCTGCATAACAACACAGTCTAACACTACCACTTACTGTTAGTCCCGTCAATCTAAAAACCATTACGTTGGAAGTGTAGCTATATTCAAGTCAAATTCAATTGTCTGTAAATGCAGGCTCTTTTGTTTTGATAAGAAAATGAAAAACACAATGACAAAAAGCCTCCCAGGGGTAATTACTGTAGGATTCAACATGTATTTATCCATCATATGTACACAAGCGCTAAATCTAAGTGTCGCTTGAGCATATTCCAACGTACATTTTTGGTGGAAAGAAGGAATACCCTTCAGTCAGTCTGTCGCAGGGGCCACAAACACAGCGGCTGGCAAAGAATCACACCATTGGACATTTTAGAGCCTCCAATCCTTCTGGCTTGCTGGTCTTTGGAGTAAATCCATGAAAAAAATCCATGCAGGCATCACACGGAAAACAAAACCACATCCTTCTCAATTTGAGGTCACGTGCCAGCTACTAATGCACCGTGCCACAAAGGGAATGTTTTTTTGGTGGCTCACACTGTGCCAACACGGGCTGAAAGCATGGCATAAAAGGTAGATGCCACATCAAATCTGACCTCACTCGTTTTACATGTTCAAAATGAATGCTTCCATGGAAAAGCTAACAGAAGGTAATCTGCTCTTTCTTTCTCTGAAGATATGACACACAGTATGCTCTACATGCTTTCATGGTGATCAAATTAAATACAAATCTTTCTACATGCTTTGAAGACCTATACTCTGAAGGGATATCACATTTCGACACATATATTGTATTTCTCAAGATTGTATTCCCACTGTGAAGACTTTTCTAAGCTTATTGATATTTCCATACACATTATGTCTAGAACGTCAGACTCCAATACAAAAGGGTTAGGAGAATGTGAGCGTTCCTTTGTGCAGCTAACATGTTCTCTGCTGCAAACTGCACACCAGGTGCAAAGAAAAGGAACAAAACGTGTTGAATTCCAGCACACTGTCAGCACTAAGTGATTTGAAATTGCTTCAGTGATGAATTGCCATAAATGCAAATGATATTCCCAATGTATCATGATATGATTTTGGTGTTCTCTAATTGAAATCTTCAAACAATGTGTGGGAATTGACTTTTCTTTGCTGCTTTCACCCCAGGGAAAAGATATGCTGCGGTGGATTTGATTATGTTTTTACCATGTTAACACTTTTTTTTTTTTTAAATAAGGAGAATCTGGATTTACACAGGCCTCGAAAAACGTGGACATACAGTTTGTGGAAATGTGGGAATGCGGGCATTTGAATCAAAGTCAAATGTTTGTTGCTCTAAAATATGTTTCCTGGGAGTGAAACTTTTAAATGTATCAATTGCTATTAAGCCGGAACCCCTTTTAATGCAGACTTATCTATTTTAAGATGGAGGTACAAGGTACATATACCTTACCTATAGCTGAATTCAATCACTTCCTTTAAAAAAGAAAGATTAACTAAACAATTGCACTCAGTAAAGTCTTAGTAAAATATCAATAAAGTATGTTTGACTTTTTTCACAACCCTAATTGAATACAAACAGTCTCACTTTCTAAATGTGGTTCACTACTTAGTTGCTTTCATCTATATGGTAGTTGCTAGTGGTTTAATAAAAATGCCATTCAAATATTGAGGAAATAAATTATTACATCTTTTTTCCAGCCCTATAGAAGAATAGAGACCAAAAGATACAGGTTTAACAAAATTGATGTTAAAATAATCCAGATTATATGTGAATCAGTCAACTGGTTGGTAATAATTTTATATTTAGTAGCGGTGTGTTTCATTGTGCTCCCGTTAACTTCAGTTGGGACATCAACTGTTCAAATGCTTTCTAAAGGTGTCTCGTTATTCAACAAAAAGATGCATCGCTTTGGTCTAACCTGTTTGTTTGATATTTGTTACTCTAATTTCCCCAGATGTTGCTCCAGAAGCTCCTCCAAGCAGAGCACCACAGGTCATCCTGCACCCCGTACTGTCTGAACCAGGGTGAGCAGATCATTCATTATAACACGTTATTCATCAAAACCACATGTCTACCTTGGAAGAAATGAAGAAAGTACTTATTATATTCCTCATAAGTACTTGTCAGTTATCTCCCTTTCATCTACACGCTCCTTTGTCTCCTCCTCTCCGTGGCCGCTGGTCAGAGGCCAGGTCAAATTTATTGGAGCACAGATATTTGGGTGACAATTTCAATGCGGGAGCCTACATGACGAATACTCTGAATGTCAGCACATCCTTTCGTTCACGCTACACTTGGGATGCCAACTGGATTTTCACTAGCTCTTTGAGGAAGCCAGTGGTCACGGGAAAACAACCGGAGAAGGAGGAGGAGTGATGAGATGCCTTTCGACCCAGATGTTAATTGGATCAGAATCTCAATCTATCTTAGAAACAGGGCGAAATCAGCCCCATCTATAGGCAGATGGTTAATTTTGATGAAATATGGACTGTACTTATGGATTGTAATGGATTAATCAATAGTAAATAATGTCATTTGTTTTATTTTATGAACATCCACTTGAAGAGGTCCTAGACAGATGATGGCTGTTGTTTTAAATGATGCTTAACCCCAGGCTAGTGATGTATTTAGATACAAAATATATTTTTGTCGTCTTCATGCTACATTCTTTAAGCAGCTGTCAGCTTTGAAATAAGAATATGTAAATGAAAGCCCGGAAATATTTATAGCAGAAAATAAAGTACGAAAGGTAATGTAATGCACACATAACAGGAGGCTCTATAGCGTTGGAAAAGACTGGGGTTTTTCAAGGATCACTTAGTGTCATTAAGCAACAAAGGGTTACCGAAGAATTCAGTTAGTTCTAGTCCATTATGCTACACATGAAAAATACATGACAGAAGAGAACAATAGCAATTGTAGTAGAATGATTTAGGTTTTTCTAATTTGCAACAGGACAAATGTAATCAAAAAATGTTTTGTTTGTTGGGAGCTAATATGGCCGCCATAAGAGTCATGCGATCTGACGTCAAGAGCAATATTCCTAACCATGAACAATATGATGTGAGATAGATGATTGTATATTCAGACAGAACTGCCAGATGGTTGTACAGACAAACATCATAAAACAAGGATTTGTTGTCAACCTTTCAACAACTCCAACTCCTGTGTGGCTTTTCTAGCTAAAACCTTTAATAACATTTTGTCTTTGCCTTACATAATAATCACACTTTAACCTTTATCAAAAGAATGATGTTGACAAAAGTAGACTAGACACACATTTTGTTTCAGAACCCTTTAGGGCCATGTTGTAGCTTTTTAAAAATGGCAATGAAAATATAAAAGCTAACACATTTTCAGGCCGAGGCTAATAGAACAGGTTAATAGTGAAAGTTATATAACATATGTACTATAGTTAGTGAGAGTTATCAAAAATGCCATTTAGTGTTTCTTAGAGGGGCATCAGTAACACATCCACAAGTATTGGATACATCTGGTGTTTGTGACAGCTAGATGATTAAATCCCAAATGATCAATGGTCATATATCCTATATGTAATCTACATTAAGACAGTGTCATGCAGCGTTACATTTAGAACATAGATAGTGAAGAAACCTCTTTAAAAAATTGGAAATATGCATGAAAAACACACGCTCATCTTCAACCCCATGCCTTTGAGTCTCTGCTCATTATAATACCTCTAGATGGACCATTTCACCATTTCTCACTCACAGTCTCTCGTTCTTTGCCTTTTGACGAATGTGAATACATTAGCACGGGTTATGAAAGCCGTATTCCTCTGATTTAATTAAAGCTATTGTCCCTCCTTTCCCACATCTTTGTATGCTCTTGCAGTGGCAGATAAGGTTTCTTTGGCCTTAATGGCCTCATTCCAGGGTTAATGAGGGCCTGTCTCAGTCCCCAACACCCGGCAGGTACCCCTCATTAGAGCAGAAATCGAAACGTGGTGGGGGCCCCTGGCGCCACAGTAATCACATTATTTTATACGCTGCCTCACCTTTAGTCTTCACCCAGAGTCCAGAAATTGATATTACCACAGAAAGGTTTTGAGAGGTTACACGCTGATGTTACACAGCCAGCTCTGTGGACAGAGGAGGGGGGGGTTGGAGAGGGGAAAGCGGGATCATTTGTGTCGTGTCTGTGGCACCCACGGTGTAAGTGACACTGTACATGCCGGGGTCAGAAATTAATAGGGGCTCTTGGCAAAAACGCACCTGAAAGTTAATACCGCAAAACGCCTGGGAAATTGATAATTAGAGGCAATTAATTAGTATAAAAGCCTGCATTTCAGTAACTTATTCTCAGTTTAATCTGGAACCAAATTCACAGCCTGATAAATGCTGAGATAATAAAACAGTGTACCGTCAAGAAAATACCCTGAATAAAGTCCTGACTGATTAAAAAAAATGCAATATCCTAATTCTATATCAATCCAAGTCTATTGATAATGGGAAAACAAATCTGGCGGCCGTTTGAGGCTACATTTATTCCTAGCATAACACACCCAAAGCTCCGACCCAACTGTAGGTGATCGAGTTGCATTGTGGGTAATGTTGGCGGTAGGTTTTGAGAACCAGTTCAAATGCATGAGATAAATAGGATGATGATAAAGTATCTCTGGTTTTGCTGCATCAACTTTTTTTTTGTACTATCCTTGTGTTTAACTGCTCTTTGTGAAACAAGCAATGGTACAAAGGTGCATGTCTAAAGCTGGTATTGGCATTGTGTTTCTATGGAGAGCTGTATGTAGCAGGTATGTAGCAGCACAAGCTAGCAAGGGAGGTAACCATAGAAACAAAACGAAACCTAACTGGCTATTTTCATCACAAGGCTGTGGCCGTTTCTCAATGTCGAGTAAAGCTGCTGCAGAGCCACTGGCCGTTTCTCAATCGCGAGGATGCTTGCTTGGTAGCACATGTCTTCCGAGTCACTTGCTTCAGAAGCTAGGCAAGAATCCTTCCTGGCATTCGGAAAATGAAGAGTGGAACAGGCGAGCAAGTGTGCAGGTGTGCGTCATATGAGAGGCCCCGCCTTACATTTCCCGCCACAGATTTGGGGAAATTGGTTCGTGCGCAAAGCATTGTGGGGATTTGAAGGACGCGAAGTCTACCCATGTGCAGCCTCGAAATTACCCCCAAACCAAGGATGCGGCCTCGGTGGAATTCCAAGTATGCTGGAGATTGGAACAGTCCTTCGGCGGCACTCGATGACGTAGCATCCTTGAAATATTGGCATGGAAGCCAGTTTCCTCGAGATTGAGGCCGTTTCTCAATCGCGAGGATGCTTGCTTGGTAGCACATGTCTTCCGAGTCACTTCCTTCAGAAGCTAGGCAAGAATCCTTCCTGGCATTCGGAAAACGAAGAGTGGAACAGGCTAGCAAGTGTGCAGGTGTGCGTCATATGAGAGGCCCCGCCTTACATTTTCCGCCACAGATTTGGGGAAATTGGTCCGTGCGCAAAGCATTGTGGGGATTTGAAGGACGCAAAGTCTACCCATGTGCAGCATCGAAATTACCCCCAAACCAAGGACGCGGCCTTGGTGGAATTCCATGTATGCTGGAGATTGGAACAGTCCTTCGGCGGCACTCGATGACGTAGTATCCTTGAAATATTGGCTTGGAAGCCAGTTTCCTCGCGATTGAGAAACGGCCTGAGAAACGGCCACTATTTCAAGTATACTACGTCATCGAGTGGCACGGAAGGACTGTTTAAATGCCCAGCATTCGGCGCCACTCGATGACGTAGTATACTTTAAATAGTGGCTCTGCAGTAGCTAGTGAAGTTTAGTTGCTATGGTTACCTTGCTTGCTAGCTTAAGCTGCTACATACAGCTGTCTTCTGATTGTGTGTGTCGAAAGGTCAAAGTTGAAAAACTCGACATTTTAGCACATTGCTTGGCCACAATTTTGAACCCTGCGTGATCACGTGGGTTGTGCTTCCCCCCCCTTAGCAAAACTCTCTCCATAAAAACGCTGCGGCAACGCCAGCATGATCCCTTTACCGCGTATCAGGTGAATGGAGTTTAAATCCATGGAGTACATTAAATGATTCTTTAAGTTTGGTAAACAAGCTTACACATCAGCAGCATCACTATTCAAACATAGCATTGAACAATACTAAATCCACCAATCACCATTGTACTTGAAGAAAATGGCATTAACAAAGACAGTTAAATAAGATAAGATATACTTTATTTATCCCAAATTTGGAAATGTTTTCGTTGCAGCAGAGCATGAAAACAGGTATTGCACATAATAGGAAATAATTACACCAAACAAAGATTTACACATCACACAAGTTCTAATGTTAAACCTTGGTTAGCCCATGCAAGGGTAAACTGTTATTTCGTGTTTTATATCCAGTTGTTCTCCCTCTGAATGACTTTCATTTCACAACCTCCTCTCTTAGTGGGAGAAGCAATTGTCTAAATATCTAACATCATAGATGTGACTCATACATATTTATCAGGGCATCGATCAAGTCTGCAACATTCCAGGAGACAAGATATCAAGAATGAATCATTTATACAATATAATGGGCGACTGGCTGCGAGGGAGTGCGGTCGTCTTTCAACCAGAAAGTTGTGGGTTCGATCCCAGCCCATGCAGTCAACATGTCGATGTATCCTTGGGCAAGATACTTAACCCTGAGTTGCTCCCGATGGCATGGCCAACGTTGTGTGAATGTGTGTGAATGTTAGGTCCTAGAGCAAGTGGTACTGCTCTGTGTGAATGGGTGAATAACATGTAGTATGTAAAGCGCTGTGAGGGGTCGTAAAGACTGGATAAAGCGCTATATAAGTACAGTCCATTTACCATCAATTTATAACAAAACAAAAAGCCATTTAAAAACCTGATTAATGGTGCAAAACACTACATAAATAAAAACAACACATATACTCATCAGTTATGAGTGAAAGAGTTTTTTGTCATAGTTTTATTTTAAATTGTATTCTTCTTTCTTTTAGGAATGAGGGCAACCCTTTACTTCAAATCGAAGTTGAGCCTACATCAGACGTAAGTCCTTGTTTTGTGATGCTTTTAAATAGATGTGAATGTTTTACATACATCATACTGTGTAACATTTCTGTTAGTAACATCAGTGTAAAATGATTTGTGAATCCAAATGAAGACCGAGTATAGCTCTCACCGTCACTTGTCGTAGTCATTTGCACCGTTCTCTCATTTAGCATAATCTGACTCGGCTCCCCTCCAGGTACGTTTTGAGTGAAAAGCAGCAGGAAGGAAAAGATGCAACTCGACGTCATCTCCGTTCTGTAAAAATGAAATATCTTGAGACAATATGATGAAGATTGCTTTGAATAGTATTCCAGCAGGCATCTTTGATTAGGTCATTTTCAATTCTGCAGTACATTATATTTGAAATCAAATCAGAATAAATCAAAAATAATTTCCCTCTGGCTGTTTTCCCTTTTCATAACTATTTTTGAATGTTATTGGCAATGGCCTAAACAGCAGTGAGTACTTCGAACTAACACAACTTGACAAAAATGATGCTGTTTTATATAGAGGAAACATAGATGATATATATATATATATACTGTATATGTGTATATGCTAGTACATATGCATTGATGAAGTCAATGATTCAATGTACTATAATATGACAGAACTCGTTTTTACATTCAGCGAATGAACAACCATGTTTATTTGTGAAACTTCCTTTAGAAGAGGTTTCAGCAGATTTGAATCCTCCAGCTCTCAAAAGTCAAAGTCAACTTTATTGTCAATGTTTCAGTTTGTGTCTACAGACTCAGTGGCATTTGTCAGAATAAAAGCATTTGACATCTTGGTCAAATATTGTATTCTATGTATTCTATGTGTATGTACACCTGTGAAAAGCAGGCCTACAGCTACCAAAGAACATTTCAATTTCGCTTGATCACAGAATGAGGACGGCAATGACGAGGATTCCGGTGACGAGTTCGAGGAGATGAACCTGTCGCTCCTGTCGGCGCGCAACTTCCCACGCAAGGCCAGCCAGACCAGCATCTTCCTGCAGGAGTGGGACATCCCGTTTGAGCAGCTTGAGATCGGGGAGATGATCGGCAGGGGGCGCTTTGGCAAAGTTTTCCACGGACGCTGGCACGGTGAGGTGGCCATCCGCCTGATCGACATCGAGCGGGACAACGAGGATCAGCTCAAGGCCTTCAAGCGTGAGGTGATGGGTTATCGCAACACTCGCCACGAGAACGTGGTGCTGTTTATGGGGGCCTGCATGAGCCCACCACACCTGGCAATCATCACAAGGTAAAGACGGGACATGTGTTGTGAAATAAACCCCATGGCTGCTGAAGAACTTGCTTTGTTGTTATATCTCCTAGTTACAAGTTTAGTTTGTAACTACATCTGCAATATATGTCATTTTGTTTTAAATACCTCCATTTCCATTGTTTATTGCAGTGACACAACACACTCATAGCGTCATTTAGTATGCTTATATATTATATTGACTTTTTTAAGTATACTTTTCAAGATTTCAAGTGTGAAAACACTACATACTCAAAGCCTACTTTTGTTATGTTGTACAGAATTGGCAGGCAGAAACACAAGATCAAGAATCATATAAAAAAAAAGAGGAAAATATAACTATAAAAACACGAAGGAAGTGAGAACAATTATGAAAAGCAGTATATTTTGAGTTTAAGTTCATTTGCCACATTTTAGAATGTACAGACAGTATAGTATAAATAAAGCATAGCACAGTCATAACAATACATGTTTCCAAAGGAATGGCAGAATATAGTGCAGGGAACTTTATAATTTATATTAATTTAGTTCTGGGCAATAAGATAGACTTGGATATAACATTGCATTGATCAAAATAGTAGAGGTTATTAACATGATTTCTAAAATAAATGTTATCATGTCTACAGTCAAAATATTGCAATCCATTTAAATTATAAATATGTATGTGTAAAACTGAAGAGAAAAAGACAGCTGTATCATGTGATGTTGAAATGTTTAATACATAACAATTGCTGATAAAAGCCTAACACTAAGACATATTTGATAAGAAGTGTTTTCACCTTTGTGTATTTCATTCAAGTATATCATTTCTATATAATATATATAAACGAAATACTGCATGTATCCATAAAACATGTTCATTTAATGCATTTGTACTGTCAAAAAAGTTGCAAACTTTTAGGAGGGCAACAAGTTTAAACTGCCCATACAGATTGATATTCCACATTGAAAGAAAGGGGCGAAAATATCTAATATATGTGTTACTTTTTCATGAATACACTAATCCCCACTGCTCACATGTTCATTTTTCTGCAATATTATTTGGGAGACTCCTACAATGAATCACACCTCCAAAAATCGTGGTGTGCTCTGCTTCTTAATTTCTAAAGCTGGTCCCTGTCCCCCTGGGACTCATTTCAGACCAGGCACTGATCGGGCCGCCTCTGGGACAATGAAGCGTGCCACAGACATTATGATGAGAACAGGCTGCTAGAAGCACTCACATCGCCTGCTGTAGTTGTCTTAACTATAGCGGTTGGAGTCAATCTGCCTGCATAGTGAACAACCTACTTTCTCATGTTTCTACGAGGCTGTGTTACCATCACAAACTATCTAAAACCATCACAAGGAAACATCTCCAGTTTAATTAATTAACTAATAATGTTCAAAAAGAAAGTTGTTCTGATGTTTGCCACAGGCTGTGAACAAAGAAGAATGTCTCAATAAGAAAAATAATCAGCCTCTTTGTATCTTCTCTTTTAATATGTATTTGACAGCAGAACAAATTTACTTTTTCTTCCTACATTCTCTGTTAAGACAGAGAAGAAAGAGTGGGATTTCCAAGCTGGACTGACAGTTTAAAAAGGGATTTCATGAAGCTAATAGTCAAAGAAATGACTCCCTTCTCATTGCATTCACAGTGATGGTAAACAGCTTTTGAATACCGGCTTGACTGATTGATTGATTGAGATGTGTGATTGCAGTTGATGCCTGCTCAAATTGTGGTGAGTGCAGGGGAGATGCCTTCCTGATTGCTGAGAATAATAGCAAATGTCAGTGCAACAGGTGGCTTTGTTATCCACCAATAATCTGCTTCTCCTATTACTCTTTTCAAAAAGGGGACTGGAATGCACTTTCTGATACTCATCGAGATAAATGTGTAATATTAATTGTGGTTTATTAAGGATGATAATTTTCAGGGTGCATTAGTGAAACCATAAACATTGATCGTTTCATTTGTCACAAGTGGCAGTTGATCGATTCTGCCTAGTGTACAGAACACAGGGTTATATCTATATGACTATGATTATAATCTTCTGCACCTTAAAACCCACTGTCTGTCGACACTGCCTGTGTTTTAACATGTTCTTTCTTGTTTTGTTTATTTTTGTTGTTGAGTTTTTTTATGAAGATTTCCAGTAGTTGCATGTTTTTATTTGATTGTATTTACTTGTTTAAAATGATATGTGTCTTTAAGGTGACTTACGAAATCTGTCCAGGGACTACAGAGGAAAAATAGCCTCTTGGCTAACTCTGGCACATTTACAGAAATGTTGAATAATGTGCACTGCCCCTGTTTGATAAACGTACATAGGTGAATTTCAGCTTGTTGAGGTGGCTTTACTATCTTTTTATCAAGCGCTGCCTCTGAGGTATAGCAGTAATTGTTGTCATAAGGTGTATGTAAGGTTTCTACTGAAGTTACACTGAAGCCATAAGCCACATTTGGGTGTTATAAATAGCCAGAGGACAGAGAGCCTCTAAAAATGCAGCTGCTGTCAGGTAATGAATATGTATGAACTGTTGGCTTCAGGTCCTTTGTTGGTCACCTGCATGGCACAGTTGGGGTTGAGGGCTTCAGGTGTTAGGCGGGGGGGGCAGCTGTAGAGCTGTCTATTAATAAGCTGCTTTGAGGCACCCCTCCAGAAATATGACACTACCTCTCACATGTAACAGCCTCACCCTGACACCAAGTGGGCCCGCGTGTCAGTTAGAAATGATGGCATTTCATCCTCCAACAACATCTCGAACTGCAGGTGAAGCCAGTTTATTTGGTTGGCAAAAACACATTTGACATCAAAGATGACTGGTTATATGAAGTGAGAGCAGCTATTTGAGAAGTGAACTAAGAAGATATTGTGTATCTTGAGTCAAAAGTTTTATAACAAGCCAAAATTAGCTTGTGTGGTCCTCACGTACGCAAAACCTAATAGTTACCAAAGTAAACCCTTTTGGATACATTTTTTCACAAGCCACATATATTCCGAACATTTTCACGAGATTTGGCAAATCATAGTACTAACGTTAAATCGCCCCCTGAAAGCCACTATCTAAGCTATGGGTAATTGGAATTTATCTTGGAATAAAGCGTGAACATTGTAACAATAGGGCATTTTCCTTTCTCTTATTCTGCAGACATGTCTTGAATGCAGCATTGGCAATGTAAAAAGTAACAATAACATAATTAACAGTACCTTGCAAAAACTATTTAAAAGGAGTCAATAAAATACATAAACAAGCTTACATTTTTAATAAAACTGTATAAACAAAAGAACTAACAGCACAGTGCTAGATGAATAGTCCCAATTTACATTGAATTGAAAACAGTGGCAAAAAAAGCCATAGGCAAGGAAAGTGTATTTATGTTAGATATTTTTATAAGGCAATTGAGAGGGCTTTACAGAAAAGCATCAAATGAAAAAGACACACACTGTCAAATGAAATGTAAGTACAGTGGAAAACAGTGATTTAAGAGCTGATGGGTTTGCAGAACAAGATACCTGACTGTTCTGTATTGTTCCTGAAATACAATACCAAGTAACGTGTTTAAAATTAAATAAGAGCCCAGTTTGATGATGCACCCTATTTAATAGTATTTGTGTCCCATAATTCATCTTTAAGAAAACAGGGTCCGTTTGATGACGAAATGTAGCTGACTCAAGTCGCACATAGGTTGACTGTCATTCTTAATTTTTTCGGACAGATGGAAAATGAATTGCAAAAGTTTAAAGACCTCAAATGTTTTGAAGTTAATAAAATGATTACATAAGCCTACACAGTAATACTTGTCATTGTCCCCCTCTCTCAGCTTGTGTAAAGGAAGGACACTTTATTCCGTGGTGCGTGATGCCAAGGTTGTCCTGGATGTTAACAAAACAAGACAGATCGCACAAGAGATGGTCAAGGTAAAACAACTCTGCACTGATTCCCCGGAACACTTGTGCAGTGCCCATCACATTACAGAAAAGTCATATTCCTCTCTCTCTCTGTCCTCAGGGGATGGGCTACCTCCATGCAAAGGGGATCTTACACAAAGAAATGAAGTCCAAAAACGTGTTTTATGACAACGGGAAAGTCGTCATTACCGACTTTGGACTCTTCACCATATCAGGGGTTTTGCAGGCTGGCAGGTAATTATTTTCAGCACACATCTGAGACAGGAAAAGGACTTAGGCAGTCATTTGCCTTGGAAACAGAATGACATTATTTCAACACATGGCACACATGGTATAGGGACTATGACACCTTGAGAGGAGGTATATGGTCTACTTATTCACAAAAAGTAACTTTATTTTGTATTCTTCTTTTGAAGTAAAAGCAGTCTGTAAACATACTGTGCAATCTTTCAAGCAAGATTCTTCTTAACGAACCTGATTTACTTCAGCTTTTGTAAACATTCTTTAACCAATATTATTTTAGCTTTACTGCTCTGAAGTGTATTGCCTAGTTTTATGACTGGCTTTAAAGGGGCAATATTATGCTTATTTTCAGGTTCATGATTGTATTTTGTGTCTTTACTGTGACTAGTTTTCCTGCTTTAATGTTCAAAAAGCTCTTTCTTTTTCTCATACTGCCTGTGCTGACACACCCCTTTTCACCCTCTGTCTGAAACCAGAGTGCAGTCTGCTCTGATTGGTTAGCTGTCCGGCTCTGTTATGATTGGTAAAACGCTTAGAGATGTACCGCCCCTTAGCCTGTCACGTACAATGTTTTGGAGTGCTAGTCAATAGAAGCAAGAGTGGTCCTTAGTGATGTCACTATGTTACAGGAGGAAACAATGGAGTTCAATAAAGGCGTTTTGGGGTTTTAAGCCTTAACCGACCATTTAAATGCACAGAAAGCTATATAACACACTAAAAGAAAGGGAATACCCCAAAGAGCATAATAGGGCCCCTTGTAAAAAGAAATAGAGGAGCAACACCCTTTTTTTGGTTGGATCAACAGCATTGGATGTTGGGTAATGACATAACGCCTCAAATGTAACTGAAAGTTCAACATTTTCTTGGCAATATTACATCTTTGCTGTAAGTATAACATCACTTAATAACCCTTAATCGTCTTCAGTAACCGTTTTCATGGCTGAAAAAAAGGAATCGTATAGCTTATCCAGTTGAGATTGACCTCATGAAGCCATGACTTTCATCATTAACCCTTCAGAAGTTCTTCGGTAGTGAAAGACAGACCTGCAGGCTTTCTGAATACGCCTACATCTGCAGGCCAAGCAGGATCGTTTTAACAGTACATTTTCCAAGTATGTAATCAGACAAATAACATACCTGACTTCGTCTGACATTTTACATTGTCGACAAGCAGGTTATAGCACCTACAAACAAATGTAGTTTTTATAAGTTGAGCTTCTAAACCTTACAATTAATTGTCAAGTGAAGAAAATACTGTAGGTGTGAGGGTAAGGTGACGGGAGATCTAGAATAAAGCACACTTTATTGTTGTACATAGATATTTGAATAGTGTTCCTTGAAATGTGTCTGACCTACAGAACAGAGCTGTTATTGTAACAATATGCCAGCGATGCAGCTGAAAAGCCCAAAGTGTTCATACTTTTCTTGAACAATAATTGAAGGCAACATCCTCCACTTATCTTATTATGTCTATCTGCAAAGACAATGTAGTATAATGAAAAAGCGAAAACAAACATCTCTACTGTGGCTTGGCAGAATGGTAAATAAGATCAACAAACCCTGACATGTTCTCTCTATGTTTCCTCGTCCTCCAGCCGAAGAGAAGACAAACTGAGGATCCCCAACGGCTGGCTGTGTCACCTGGCCCCAGAAATAATCGAGCAGCTCTCCCCAGAGACAGAGGAGGACAAACTTCCCTTCTCCAAACAGTCGGATGTCTTTGCCTTTGGGTATGTGTCGTCTCAGCTGAAGCCCTCCTGTGTGTTTTCTTTACAGACAATATGCCAAAGCCTGATGTTGGTCGATCTTCGCCCACTGTTGACAGAGAGGGTAAACAAAACCCAAATATTCATGCGAAATAAATTATTTCTTACTTTTCTACAGAGCAGCCAAAAACTCCACATCACATGACGAAAAGGCGACTCTCATTAACACGTTTCCAGATCTCATTATAGATTTTCACTGCTTACTGCTTTATTTAATGAGAGCAGGATAAGACGTTTTAAAACTTAATTGCTTGAAATGTATCTGATTTTGACATTTACACCCCTTGGTCCAATATGACAGATTTTGGGAAGGATCATATATCCTCAGGAACAGTGAAGACCCCTGACTTACCGCATCTCCTTTATGAATGAACCTTTAGTTACAGTGGTGATGGGGATTCAAATTGTCAACTGGCAACTGGAAGAGAGCAAGATATTGGAGAAACTATATTACAGAACTCTCTGACTTGTGATTGGTTCCCCCATGTTGGTGCAAGAGAAGGTTGGAAGCTTAGTTTTTTTTAAAGAGTTATCTTTTTTAATTTTAAACTGTTGGATAATTACAGGAAAAAGGGAAATTGTGTGACATCATTTAATGTATTAGGCAGAGGAGTGACTCCATCAGATTTGCAAAGGAAGCTGGTTTTCGATTATATATATATATAATATGTTCTAAACCTCATTGTTACGTCCCGGCTCGTGGAAAGTAACATAGAACCAGTTGGAAATTGGTCAATTAGAAGTTGTTTATTGAGGGAGCTCAATACAATTGGCCACAAGCAGCCACAATCAAAACAAAAGGCCACAAAGGCACCGGTTTAAATAAACAACAAAGGGAACTAAGGAAGACTCTTTAAATAAGAGTTTTAACAAGTTAGTACACAAACAAAAGAAAACCTCACTTCTAAAGTGGGAAAAGGAATTGGGCTAACAAAAATAGGCTGTTATAAAACACAGTCTGGGGACAAGTTAACAACAGTTAACGTTGTACTAAAGATAAACAGATTTACAAGTATAAGCACAAATATGCAAACAACTACTGTAAGTGAACCACTGTTAACGGGGCTATCACAAAATGTACAGAGGGAGTAACGAGAGACGTCTGCCACAGATTCAGACCTCTGGCTTTTAGAAACTTTTACATTTTGGCTTCACAACATTAGTTGTGTGTGGTAGTTTGTTTACTCGGTGTACGTCTCAGCTGCACAGGAGGTTATGGGGTTTGATGAGTGTCAGGCAATTTGATGAGTGTCAGGCAAAAACAAGCGGTTTCTGGGAATTGAAAAGTAGAATTCAACCTCGATCAATATAGCATCTAAGGAAAATAAAATTACAATCTCCATTCATATAAAGTAAACATAAAAATAAAGTAAACATATATTGTGACTGCAAAGAAAGACAAGCTAAGGAATTGTACATATATTAAAATGAATGTATAGAAGGGTGGCTTGTTTGTGGGTTTTTACATTTTTCTCTTTTTTTGCTGAAGTACTTGGTAGTCTAAATCGTTTGGGGTGATGGAAATAATGATTCAACAATATCTTATCATTCGCCAATAGTATCTACCAATGCTGTCATCTTAATTTATTATGTGTTACAGTAGTATAAAGCAGAAGAACAGCGGTACACATTGTTTAAAACAAAGCATATTATGGTTTGTTTTGAATACAAAAAATAATGTTATAATATTTTGTAAACGGGAAGTATCTTTCGGCTAAGTTTGCAAACCACTTGCATTGTATGATTTTGGTGGCTAGGCGGAATGTATTATTCCATTAACAGTGAATTGTAGTTGTTAATGGCAAAATGAATTGAACCAAACCACAGTTTTAGAATATATATATGATATTGTTGGGTAAGGACAGTTGGGTTCATTTTGACTGAAATCATCACACCTACTAGATTGCTTCTCTTGAGTGTCCCTCTGGTTTCTCAAACCAAAGCGTCCTGCCTCTCCTCCTCTAAAGTCCAATTTTAAATTTAATTAGTTAATTAAAAATACCCAGGGCGCCTGTTCCTCCTCCAATCCCATTACTTATTCATTTGAGGGGGTGGACCCTGCTTTGTTGGCTCCTAGCACTATTGCATTTTCAGATGGTCACCCATATGGAGGTTTTGTTGCTTTATCATCCTGAAGGGAAGAAGAGTGCAGTGCTGGTGCACAATGTCCAGCTGCTCTCATATCTCTTGTGTTTCCTAGAGGTGACCCCCATGGCTGTTTTACATATTCATCGAAAACTTTCTACTCCTGGCAAAGAGCTATTTTTACGCTAATCAAACTAGACGTGCAAGAGCAGAATGAAAACAACCGCTTATTCACACGCTTACATGTAAGCGTAATGAGCTGTTTTTAGAAATGTACTGTCGCTTTAAATTCTGGATTTAAAGGGCACCTATCATGCAAAATGCACTTTTTGATGTCTTTTATACCTAAATATGTTTCCCCGGTGTGTCAGGGAACTCTCAAAGTGTCAGAAAACAAAACCCTCTCTCTTTTCCTCCTTACCCAAATCTCTAAAAACAGGGGCACAACCAAGCTGACCCAAGTTCCCATCAGCAAAAACACGTGGGTTTGCTGTCCTGGCTCCAAAATGGTGGAATGAGCTCCCCATTGACATCAGGACAGCAGATAGCTTACACACCTTCCGGCGCAAACTGAAAACTCATCTCTTTTGACTCCACTTCGAGCGATAGAATTACTAACAAAGCACTTATATACTTATAAAGGACTGGCTTATCTAAAGCCAGTTGAGTAGCACTTGAAATGTTTTGGCTCTATGAAGCCTGATGTACTTATATGATTCTGTTTTCTTCAAGTTTGTATCTTCTTGGTCGAATACACTTATTTTGAGTCGCTTTGGATAAAAGCGTCAGCTAAATGTAATGTAATGCCTAAAAATAGCATAATAGGAGACCCTTAAGTTATAGATTAAATTCATCCACGGAATTCTAATGTTTGCTATAAAACTGCGCAGAGCATCATCAACTGTTGTCAGTGAATCTGAAAGCTGATTAAAACATTGAGTTTGATGGCTTACAGAAGTCGCACCTGGAATCTTGCCTGGTGGCATTAGCACTGGGCGGAATGTGAACCCTCCGTAGCTGTGTTTTAGGAAATATGGTGTTGTAGACAGACAGTACAAAGCGCTGACCATCTCTTTGTTCCTCTTTCATCACAGCACCATCTGGTACGAGTTACACGCACGTGAGTGGCCTTACAAGAGTCAGCCAGCAGAGGTGATCATCTGGCAGATTGGCAGCGGGATGAAGCCAAACCTCGCCCAAACTGGCATGGGGAAGGAGATATCAGTAAGGGCTCTCTTTCTTTTTCATTTGTCACAATTTGTTAATTATCCTATTTGTGAAACTTAAGTGCATTCCTGCTTTTTCTCTCAGCCCATTAAATCAATAGTTACGGCTGTAACTACGGTTCTATGAGTCCCGGATGACCGCCAGAGGCGGTGCTTTAAGCACTGGATATGTCCATCGCGCGAATGCGCAGCTCGAGTACCAATAACAACAAAGTCACCTGTGACCCACGTGACACCGGCTATATCAGCCGGTGTCGTCAGAGGATCTGTTCCGGGACTCATAGAACCATAGTTACAGCCGTAACTATCGTTCTATTTTGTCCCTACTGACCGCCAGAGGCGGTGCTTTAAGCACTGGATGACTTATACCAACAATGTCATGAAGAATCCAAGCCCTTGCTCACCACTGGAAACAGCGGAGCTCGGCAAAAGGACCACGCCCAAAGAATGGGGAGTGGCGACATTGACCTGATGACAACTGGAGAATGTGCCAGAAGACGCCCACGACGCCGCGGCGCAGATGGTCTCCAGGGGCACCACCCTCAGGGCAGCCCAAGATGTTGAGATGCTCCTTGTAGAGTGGCATCTCAGCCTGATGGCAGGGGGCGGCCACTGGCCCCGTAAGCCTGTGAGATGGTATCGACAACCCAGTGGGGCAGCCACTGGTTAGAGGGCATAACCTCCTTTAGTGCCGCCAGGGCAAAATCAAGAGTTGCTCCTACTGCCGTATACAGGCAGTAGCCTTGATATACGCCCTTTGGGCACTCCCAGGGCACAGCAACTTCGACGTGCCGTACTCCTGAATGTCAAAGCGTGCCAGCTGGGCAGGCTGATTGAAGTGGGTTTGTGGAAGGACCCCGGGCAGGAATGCCACATTTGCCCAAAGGGCAACACCTGAGAGTCCCACCTTGGGCATGTATTGTTTATGGAGAGGACATGCAACTCTCCGACTCGCTTCCCTGAGGCTATGGCAAGCAGAAATGCTGCCTTCGTGGGCAGCCACCTAAGCCCCACCTGAGCCAGGGGCTCGAAGGGAGGAGATGATAGGGCATCCGGCAGCAGGGGCAGGTCCCAAGCCGGAGCCCTCGGGGTGCTAGGGGGACGCTGCCGTAAAGCCCCTCTCATAAAGAGGGACACCGACCTGTGGCATCCCGCCGTGGCGCCGTCGACCCGAACATGTCGGGCAGAAATCGCAGCAACATAAATTCAAAGTGGAGTGAGAACGTCCACTATCTAGAAGGGACTGTTGTCTAAGCAACAACGTACATGCTGTCCACAAGGAACACGCACATTCTAGCCCCCCAGTTGGGGTAGAAAGTGCGTGAGTGCAAGCTGTACAGCCCGAAGCTCTAGCACGTTGACCTGGCGCGCACTCTCCTGGGCAGACCGCTGACCCTGAACGGTCCTGCCCTGCCGCACTGCACCCCATCCTGAGAGACATGCACCTATGGTGATGGTCTCCTGGCGGGATGGGATAGCGCCCATGGGCACGCCCACTAGGAGATAGGCCCCTCCAGCGTGACAGAGAGTGGAGGCAATGCTGCGACACCCTGACTTCCCTGTGCCTGTGCCACTTGGCGTCCAAGTGAAGGCTGTTCAGCCACATCTGCATGGGGCGCAACGACAGCGGGCCTAAGGGCCCAGCGGCCGAGGCAGCTGCCAGTCTGCCCAAGGGCCGGAGGAACTGAATATAAGGCACCATCTTGCCCGGCCCACGTGGAAGTAGGCATCCCTCAAGTCCACGGTTGAGAACCACTCCACCTGTGCATATGCAGTGGTCAGCATATAGAATGGCAGCACCTTCGGGAATCTGTTGATTCCTCTGAGGTCCAAGATCGGGCGAAATCCGCCGACTTTCTTGCTCACGAGAAAGTACGCCGAGTAGAACCCCCTGGGCTAAGCAGAGGATCTTACTGGCTTGATTGCGTCCTTGGACAGAAGGACGGACAACTCTTGGGCCAGAGCTAGGGCCCCTGCCGGATCGCTGACGACTGTCAATTAGACCCAGCCGAAGGCTAGGGGCCGGAGCTGCGGTCCGTACCCCTGGGTTAAGGCGAGAACACTACCTTCACTGGTTGAGTTAGAGACGAATGCCAGATGCAGCGTCACCGGGAGCGGGTGCGGGAACACAGCCTTCACCAGCTACCTGCTTAAAGGAATGCTCCACTCATTAGATAATTAATCAAAACTTCAGTATTTAGTGAAACATTATGTTTAAACCATACCCTGAAGAAATCAGCGATATTCCCCGGTAAATAATGATTTTATAGCTCTTTTTGATCAAAACCTGTATATTCCGTCAGGCCGCTGCCATTTTGCCCATTTTCAGTAGTCACGTGATGGTCGTGACGTCATCCATGCGTTCACTTTGTAAACACACGAAAACATGGCGAAGTTTTGAGCAATATGAAGAGATTGGAAGGGGGAATTCAGCCATACAGGTTCGAGCCTACTTAGTACTACTAAGTAGATACAATGATTTGGATTACTAGATATGTATGCATGTAGTACCACCCTTGCTAGCGATTCCCTCCCTAGTTTAGCATACTCAGCCTCGTTGTCCCTGGCCCTAGAACCACGATTTTATGGGGCCGGAAAAACTGGGGGAAAATACCCACTAGCCGGTACTACGCTATATGGAAAGGCCACCAAAAACTGGCCTGGCCTGGACGATAAAGGACGTTTAAACGGGGCTACCCGCTGCAATGGAAATGCGCTATAACATACCTTATTCTTACTCCGAGCACTACTTCTGGTCCTCCGTCGCTTCACACTTGCAGAGGGCGATTTCTCAACTGGCCGAACTGGTGTCCTGGTCGGTGATGACACCAGAAAGACCGATGGTACTGCATCTCCATTAAGTAATGGTTGTTCAATAAATCCCATGTTATGTTTTATCATACTCTCAGAGTAGTCGTCCGGAAACTTGAAATGTTCGCTGCATACATGCGCCTGTGGATCTTTCGGTTCGGGCCGGCCACATTTCGCTAGCCACTGCCTCCGAACGTACTTCCTACGCTTACCTTTTGGCAACAGATGGAACCGAGCATTCCGTGGATTGTTCCTATCAGAATTGTGGCAATGTTTCGCGATACAATGAGGCATATTTGAAGAGAGTAGCTACAGTAAATAACATGAACATCAACGTGTCCTCGAAACCAAACGCATGGTTTACGTCACGTCCGGTAAAATGGCGCCGCCCACAGTGTTGATGTTATTTCGGTAATTAATCAGTTTAAAATCACTGATAATGTCATCGGATTAAAAAAAAAAAAAAAAGACTGGCAGAGACTGGTCTGTTTTATCGGATGATAATTATTTAAAAATGAGTGTCATGAGCATACCATTCCTTTAATGGAGAAACAAGGCAGTTCCGCGTCTACCAGGAGCGGGGGCGAGAACACTGCCTTCACTGGTTGAGTTAGAGACGAATGCCAGATGCAGCGTAACCGGGAGCGGGTGCGGGAACACAGCCTTCACCAGCTACCTGCTTAAAGGAATGCTCCACTCATTAGATAATTAATCAAAACTTCAGTATTTAGTGAAACATTATGTTTAAACCATACCCTGAAGAAATCAGCGATATTCCCCGGTAAATAATGATTTTATAGCTCTTTTTTATCAAAACCTGTATATTCCGTCAGGCCGCTGCCATTTTGCCCATTTTCAGTAGTCACGTGATGGTCGTGACGTCATCCATGCGTTCACTTTGTAAACACACGAAAACATGGCGAAGTTTTGAGCAATATGAAGAGATTGGAAGGGGGAATTCAGCCATACAGGTTCGAGCCTACTTAGTACTACTAAGTAGATACAATGATTTGGATTACTAGATATGTATGCATGTAGTACCACCCTTGCTAGCGATTCCCTCCCTAGTTTAGCATACTCAGCCTCGTTGTCCCTGGCCCTAGAACCACGATTTTATGGGGCCGGAAAAACTGGGGGAAAATACCCACTAGCCGGTACTACGCTATATGGAAAGGCCACCAAAAACTGGCCTGGCCTGGATGATAAAGGACGTTTAAACGGGGCTACCCGCTGCAATGGAAATGCGCTATAACATACCTTATTCTTACTCCGAGCACTACTTCTGGTCCTCCGTCGCTTCACACTTGCAGAGGGCGATTTCTCAACTGGCCGAACTGGTGTCCTGGTCGGTGATGACACCAGAAAGACCGATGGTACTGCATCTCCATTAAGTAATGGTTGTTCAATAAATCCCATGTTATGTTTTATCATACTCTCAGAGTAGTCGTCCGGAAACTTGAAATGTTCGCTGCATACATGCGCCTGTGGATCTTTCGGTTCGGGCCTGCCACATTTCGCTAGCCACTGCCTCCGAACGTACTTCCTACGCTTACCTTTTGGCAACAGATGGAACCGAGCATTCCGTGGATTGTTCCTATCAGAATTGTGGCAATGTTTCGCGATACAATGAGGCATATTTGAAGAGAGTAACTACAGTAAATAACATGAACATCAACGTGTCCTCGAAACCAAACGCATGGTTTACGTCATGTCCGGTAAAATGGCGCCGCCCACAGTGTTGATGTTATTTCGGTAATTAATCAGTTTAAAATCACTGATAATGTCATCGGATTAAAAAAAAAAAAAAAAGACTGGCAGAGACTGGTCTGTTTTATCGGATTATAATTATTTAAAAATGAGTGTCATGAGCATACCATTCCTTTAACGGAGAAACAAGGCAGTTCCGCGTCTACCAGGAGCGGGGGCGAGAACACTGCCTTCACTGGTTGAGTTAGAGACGAATGCCAGATGCAGCGTAACCGGGAGTGGGTGCGGGAACACAGCCTTCACCAGCTACCTGCTTAACGGAAAAACGAGGCAGTTCAACGTCTACCAGGAGCGGGGGCGAGAACACTGCCTTCACTGGTTGAGTTAGAGACGAATGCCAGATGCAGCGTAACCGGGAGCGGGTGCGGGAACACAGCCTTCACCAGCTACCTGCTTAAAGGAATGCTCCACTCATTAGAT